TGTGTGTGTGTCTGTGTGTGTGTGTGTGTGTGTGTGGTGTGTGTGTGTGTGGTGTGTGTGTGTGTCGTGTGCGTGTGTTTACATACACCACACACTCAAAAGCACCGACTGAACCAGACTTGACATCAAAGACTTCTCACACAAGGTGTAATAAAGATCCATCATGTGTTATACCCTTTTATTGCTAACTGTAAGAAAACGCAAGGAGAAGACATAGACGCGACAGTTTTATTATTATCATTTTTTTTAATTTCAAAAAGAGGAAGAGACAAGGTATGGAGAGACAATAGGTCCCATGTAGGTCGGTTACTTATCCATGGGGAACAGTGGCAGCGATTTGTAGGTAATGCACAGAATACATATATATATATGCATATGTATATACTTTATACATATATACATACATATACATACATACATATACATACATATATATATATATATATATATATATATATATATATATATATATATATATATATATATATATATACATAAACATATATACTCCTAATACTTGCTTCATATGCAGTCATTTGCCCTTCATTTTCACTTTATTTACAAATGATGTCAACATTACCTAAATCATAGCGCTTCTACTCGGAACTAGATTTCTTCACGACAGGCAAATATGAAAAAAAAAACTGGTCATTTGAGAATGTACCAAATAGCAAAGACATGCTTAAGTCATCGACATCATAGCCAATGTTGCCATGTAAGAGTATTCGTGGTGGCTCGCTGATAATTCTGAACTTGACCTGAGTTTTATCTAGAAATCTTGATTCGTCTGGAATATAAGCAAGCAAAAAAAGAAAGAAAAAAAAAATATATATGTATAAAAAAAAAACTCATGTAAGCTTTGTTACGAGAGATCACCTTTTTCTTGGCACGTCGGAGCATACCCACTGTTTCAGAACAATTCCTTTTTTCTTATATGTTGAATTACATAGAAGAAGAAAAAAAAAATCTTATTAATATCCAGTCGCGCATAGCTATCTAAAGGTCAGAGTGATACTTTCACGAAGTAGGAAAAATCAGAAAAAAAGAAGATATTGAAGTATGCTATATCCTGAGCTTACATGGCTTTCGAGAACGGCCAATGGCACATAGATTCAGAAAGAACTATCTTAGAAAGAGATCCATTTTTCTTCGCTGTTCTTTGTCAGGCTCGGCAACAACAAACCAGCCGAGCTCTACTTTCTGAGAGCGGCTCCTCATAGTCTCTGAGAGGAGCGTGCGTGTGTTTCGTTTATGCTATACAAATATTTGAAAGAGCCTGGCTATTGTGTATAAAACTGGCTACAACAGATCAATGAGGTATACAGCTACCTATGTACAGTGCAAATTTTGATTATTTACATTTCGCGACTCTTTCAAATGAACAATACTTTCCCACAGTAATTCTTTTCGAATAGTCATTTGCTTTGATGTTTCCACTATAATCCTTAACAATAATGTAACATTTATAAAAATATGTCTATCGAACAGAAAACGTTCAACACTCCCAACGAACATCAAGTTCATCTTCTCACTGTAGATAATTTGACAAAGGAAAATAATGCCTCCTACAGGTTGATGATACAGTGATGAATAACAAATGTCGTGAAGGATGATTGGCGGGGACAACTTCTCGGACACAAGACGCTGTGTCGCTTTTCCTCACAAGATCCAGGGAGAACCTAGTCGGGACATTTTGAAGAGGTGGCGTCTACAGCCAATTGACAGAAGAGATGGGATTCTAGATCATCAAAAAATCACTAATCTATAAATATTCTCGACATTGAAGGCACTCATCTGAATGGTTTCGCTATTTCAACTTTTGATTCTACTTTAATTATGCAAACCATTGACTAGCCTCATTGTACTGCTTTTAGTCTTTACTAGGAATTGGAGAAGAAACCACGGTGGCCAGGAGAGACTGACGGCGAGAGACAGCCAGAGTGGCATGGATGACACATTAATGACACAGCACAACCACAGTGGCATGAATGAGGCATTAATGACAAGACACAACCATAGTGGCGGGGCTAAGGGGATGATGGCACACAATACAACCACAGAAACAAAACCCACGTGTGGTAAAACAGAAAAATAAAACAACTTAAAAGATAACATACAAGGAATGAGGGTAGACTTTTCTTAATTGATTTTTTTAATCGTTTTTTCCAAAAGAGTTTGTAAGAGTAGGCCATTATTAAAGAGGAAAGTGCTGGGTGTTAGTCGAGTGAATGGGGCAGTGGACGCCTTGGTCGCCCCAAGATTCGCAACGCTTGACGGAGGAGGGCGACCCGAGACACGACCGACACACCACTGTAAACATGGTCACGGTGGCCATCAGAAGAGAGGCTATGAGAGCAACAAGGCTACCAAGTATAGCCATTCACAGCTGTGGCATAGCAGCCACTGTATGCTGTCACCATAGCAACCATTCATGACTATCATTGCATTTACTACTTACACTTAAGGAGGAAGTAGTTGTACAAATATTTTTTTTTTTAGTTTTGTGTTATTTTGTATTTGTTTTTTTGATCGTAACCACATGCAGCTTCCGTCATAGTCGCTGCATGTGATTATTGTTGTAATAACCTCGTTTTAATGGTCTCCCGTAGCATCCACAAGCACCGCCATGCCAAAAACTGAAATTTGTGCTAGGATGAGACAGAGGTACGGCACTGTTAGTGAGGAATGCTCGTGAGTCACGTCCACAGGGTATAAACAGGCTCACAGGGGGGCTGCAGATCGACCAGCCTCATAAAAATACAAATAAATAAAAACAGAAAAAAAAATAAACAGAGCAAGTGGACATGACAGCTAGAAACAGGCCCTTCGGATGACACAGGACCGGATGTAATTTTGGTGGTGGAAGAGGTGGAGGTGTTGGTGGTGATAGTGGAGGACATCACACATAGTAGTCACTCACACAACGCTGCCGCTTGGGCCGCACGGCGGATAGTGGCAAAGGTTAGCTAGTCTACGCTGCTTTTGACCGGCCAAGCTCGGGCACAGGGCGCGGAAGACCCTCGTCGCCCGCCATGGCACGTTGCCCATCAGCCTTGCGACGTCCTCACAACCGGAACGGATTATTCATAGAGAGGGGATGATGTCGTAGGCTTCCAGGGAGGACATGAACACGTAGAAGACCCACAGGAAGGCGAGGAAGGCGGACGTCACGATCTTGGGGATTCTTGGCCCGCCGAGCTCGCCGCCGACGCTCGGGTGTCGCCTGATCATCATCACCATGATGGCCACTGCCGCCTCCACGCAGAACAGGGTCACTGAGAAGGCCAAGCTGCAAGGGAACGGAGGCTGAGTGGAGGTCTCGTCTCGCGGGCTATTGGCATCTCTTGTTCCTTGACGAATGATCTTTATTTCGTTTTTGAATTACCAGTATATCAACCATGAATGTGTAAGAGCAAGAGCAATAACACCTTTTTAATAGCCAATGCCACTAACTAGAAAAAAAAGTGAATATCTCGACCCAAGTCCCTCAGCCCCGACCCGCCCATCGGACTTACTTGCCAGGCAAGACTTCAAAGTCTCTTCCTTGGACATTGTGGTAGATAGCAGCCAGGGTCCATGCGATACCAATACCAAGGAACACGTTGACAGCGTTTGGAGCCCGTGACGTTGCCCACAGAGGCGTCAGCGTAGGGATCCTGCTGGGCGGCCACCTTTGAGGCAAAGGTATCTGGGGGAGGAGTGCCGGAGGTCTTAAGAGGAGCCCGAGGAGACCGTGCTTCGATTATGCTAGGCTGTGACCCTAATCGCTTAGATTATTTCACTTGATTGCATTTTAGTATTTAAGCAACTTCTATTTCCAGAGTAAGAGAAATGAAAGAAAATGCTAAAAGTTTATGGCATATTGGTAATTTTGAAAGCTTCTAATAAACTATAGACAATTTTAATTGACAAACTGACAAAGTTTGGGCTTGGTAATATACCTATATCCGTACATTATAAAAGGGATTTAACCCCAATATGCAGTGTGGTAAAATAGCAGTGTTAATCTTTATCAAATTAAATAACATTAACGTCCTTTATAATACTCAAAGCAAGGAAGCATAAATAAATGAGACAACAATGCCATGCTAATGGTCTAGGAACAAGCACTAAAAAACAGCTGGTGTGCACTTACAACAGCAAAGGTCTGGATGCCTTAGAGGTCTTACAGACTTCAACAAGAATGATTAATTTTGTTCTCAAGATTTAAGCATCATTCGAAAATACTTACAATGAGCAAAGGGAACTAGTTAAGACAATTAGGAAATTTTAACATGATATGCTTATCATTCTTATGACTTTATTTAGAAAAGAGATCATGATCCAGAAATTATTTCTTGAACCAGCTCTGCTGAAGGAATTGAATGTTGAATAGCAGTCACTGCTTATCATCGCCGAACAGGACAAATGTTAGCGTTATGCTTGTGTTACCTGGAACGCTCGTCCCAAGCGCCACAATAGAAATCGCCGTCACGGTGTCTCTAAGGCTGATAGTGCAGCCGAATTGACTGGCCACATCACCGATTAATGCAGTCAAAAATCCAATCGATGCAATTGAGATAATAAAACACGACCATCACCTTGCCGGTCTGTGTGGGGTGATGTTAGTCAGATGTTAGCGTTAGACTAGATTCTACGTGACCCTCAAGGTGGTGACAACTGCAAGCGGCAGGAGCATGGATGGTTCCACATGCACTCTGCATGTATTGAGGTTTATACAAGAGAGGTAAGATTATGGAAATAGTTGCACCATCCACACTGCGTGTCTAAGTTAGCAGTATTTAGCTCTTAAAGAAAAGTTAGTACTAACACCAGCAGCAGCAAGCAGCACCTGTAAGCTTGAGAGTTAGTAGGAACGGAGGAATTACAAAATTGTAAAATTGATAAAGGACACACTAGCAAATAATGGCCGAAGAGTCTTTACAGAGGGATGTAGGTCAAGGGGGAAACCAGCATCAGGCTTAAGTCCACAATATTATAATTATCAATATTATCAAGAATGAAGACAGCAATAGGACAGTGTAACACCAGGGTGCTGCAATCTTGGAAAACTTCTGCAAACTAGGAAGAATAATGAATGGTTTAGCATGTAATCATATTTTCCTCCAACCATTTTATTTCAAAAAAAGGAATTTACTTATGACGTAAATCATATACCATCTACAGCCAGATACAGAGCAATGATCTGAGAGGACCTAGGAGAAGGTTTACAGCACCCTCTCGGAAGGGAGTTGCTGCAACGACAGAGGTCTTAGTCGGGCACCAAATGATGTTGGATCGTGTAGGAAGTGTGAGGAAAAGCGAATGCATGATTTTGTGTCACCTGGAAAGTAACAATGAACAATGTTCAAGATGTGGGATGTGAGGATGTAAGGCAGAGGGGGGCGAGGGTCGAGGGTGGACGGAAATCCTAGGTATAAGTGCAACCACCATTATTAGGTCAACTAATTCTGAAGTCAGGGCTAATTAAGATACCTGAATACTATTTGGTAAGTATTGCAGCTTATCTATAGATGATTTATTTTACTCTGTCTTGTTTTACCGTGTTTAGCTAAGCAAGGATATTACTCAATTTTTTTTTTCATGTACTGACTAGTGCTGATTCATTTAACATAGATATTACAGGACTGACGGACTTAAAGGACATACTTGGGTTTATGAAAACTGCGGTTGTGTAATGTAGGACATACGGTGGGAAGGGGAAAGGAAATTTACTTACATATATTTCTTTCGTTATTTACTTTGAAAGAGGATGTGCAATTTTGTATGAAATCAAGGCAGAAGATTTTCAAAGACATCTAACTACTGATATTGCAAATCAAAACATGGTTGAAAGGAAAAAGAAAATTACATTTCGTTTTTCTTAGATATTCAAGAGTATTATAATAATTTCCTTTTTGAAATTGAGGGGGGGGGGTAGAGTCTTCATTTTCCAAAACGATCAAATCAATACAGCAAAATACAGCAGGAATGCTTACGCGGAAGGGAAACTAAAGTAAACTGGGTAGCCCGCATGGCAATGCAAATAGATTTACAGATATATTTCTTCTCGCCTCTCTACTGACTTGCTAGAGCACATCTGACACTTGGGTACAGATGGGTACTGACGAAAGCCACTTGTTCAGCAGTGTACCTGGCATAGAAGTTCCCAGGGCAACGAAAGTGGTTGCAGTGACCGAGTCTTTCAGGAAACTGGTGCAGCCCAACGCACTGGCTACGTCCCCGATCACCGCAGTCATTAGCCCGATACCAACTATTGAACACATGAAACACGGGTATCCGCCTCCTAGGGCTGCGCGTGTGACCGTCAGTGTGGGTTTCCGTGGTGGAAGGGTGTAGAGAGGTATAGACACCATTCCGTTAAACAAGAGGAGAGAGAGGGGGGAGGAGGAGGAGGAAGAGGAAAGGGGGAGCGTCGGAGGGAAAGAGAGAGAGAGAGAGAAAATGTGTTTTAACTAAAATAAACTTTGGACATTCTGCAGGCAAGAAAGCATGTCCGCATTACCCATGCACAAGTCTGGGAGTAATCACAAGTTGTAAAACCTTATGGAAGATGCACCATATCAGTCACAAAGAGAAGCACCATCAAAACTGAAATCCTCAAGTGCTCTTCAGAGACATGCGCAGAAAACAAACTCCATGGCCAAGGGACATGCCAAAAAAAAAACAAAAAACAAATGCAAAAATAAATCGAAACCAAAGGAAAAAAATGAAAAAAAAAAACACAAAAACAATATGGTTGCAATTCACACAGGAAAGTTTGCTGATGCTGAGAATATAAGAATTAAGAGCAGAGATGAGGAATTAGGAAGAAAAAGTAGGAAAAAATATAAAAGACCAAAGTAACAACTCAAAGACTTTTCCGAAATAACCCTCACACGCACGCACTACATCTCTATTTGGTTATTTTCGTTAAAAAAAAAGAAAAAAATCTCTTATCGTTAGCGAACTACTGACATATTCCAAACCGACTAGATTAGACTATATTATTGATACTATTATTCCACTTCGATAATTCTTTGTGGTTTCTCTCACTGGCAATTTCGAAAGATAGTCACGTTTCCACAGATCAAACATACATGCGCAACTGGAATAAATTGAAACGCCAATTTCAAGTTTATCTACTTATTGGAAAACCGTCATCTAAAAAAAAAAAAAAAAAAAAAAGTAAAATCTCCAGGAAGGCCGTGACTTGAGAGAACCACCATTTACCTACAGTTACCTGAAAACTACTCTTTCCTTTTTTTTTTTTTCTCTACCAAGTTACCTGGAACACTTGTGCCCAGCGCGACAAATCCAATAGCGGTAATTGTGTCCTTAAGGCCTATAGTACAGCCTACATGTGATGCCATGTCGCCTATAACGGCAGTGACCATTCCGATACCGAGAATGCTGATGACGAAGGTCGGATATCCGAGCAGCAGGTCTGCATTCGGCAAAAGTCAGGGATTAGAAAACGGTCACAAGGCCCGAGCGGAGATTCGCTAGTTTCTCGCGGAAGACCTGCTTGGGCTGTGGTAAAAATCATCAAAGAAACCTGGTGCGATCTCTTTCAGAACCCATGGATACTCACTCCTCCTGTCATACCGTTTGTTAGTGAAGTTAATACTGCGTTCTAGTACCTACTAACTAAGTCGACTGTGAGGTGAGGTGCCACGTCATGTCTCCAGCAACTCACATGGATATGAGAATAGTATGAGTGGTTTTGTATGAGCCTGGCCATCCTCTCTCCAGGTAAACTGAAGGTGAAATACTCCAAAATGACCAGGCCCTGAAGCTTCTATAAAAATTCCGCTTGAGGTTCACTCAGCCTGACTCCCTTTACGGTTTCGAAGTCAGAGATATCTTCTCACTGGGCAGCTTTTTCCTTGAAAGAAAGACACGCTCGCCTTCCTTATAATCAGCGTGTTAAAACGGATTTCTAAAATATTGCGCGTCGACTATCTCGAGATCGATTTTGAGTTCTATTATAGGGAAGATCTTTCTATAAAAAAAGAAAAAAAAAAAATTTACGGACACCACGCTTCGAAGGCGTCCGGTTCCCGTCTCAACAAGGGATCGATCTTTGGCAGCAAAACGACGATTATTAAGAAAAAGAAAACGAAAAAAGCAACAAATCTGCAGTAATTTGGTCTTGGGGAAGTGATAGAAGAGACTTTCAAAGTATAAATGTGAAAGGCTTCATTTCATGCCACGTTTAAGCGGACATGGCGTCGAGCGCTGAAGTACTGAGGGGCGGAGGAAGAGAATGCAGGGTACAAGGGTAAAAGAAAACTTGTTTATGAAAAGAATACGATAATATGCCACACCACGGTTAAACTAATCCAGGGCAAGACACATGGTTTCCAACTTCTGGAACTCAAGAAAAAAATAAAGAAAAAAATGAAAAAGGGCCTCTTTTATCTGAAACGTATGCACGCCATGTTGGCATACCCCAAAGAAAACAATAGACATAAAAAAAATCTAAAATTAAATGGCGCAAATACAGATTCAAATAAAAGTTTTTTTTTTTCTTAAAGTGAAAATACTGGTGATTTTAAATCTACCTTGGAAACTACTTCGGACAGATCAAGTGGATATGCAGCCATATCCAGCCCTAGTTGTTACAAGGGGAACAGACTTGGTATAACCATATCCCTCAGAGGAGTAGTTACCAAGGAAGTGGACATTGCAATCACCAGTGACAACCTCCAAGCCCTTCCATAGCGGTTCGCCTCAACATACCTGGAACACTGGTACCCCAAAGCCACGAAGGCAATGGCAGTCACCGAGTCCTTCAGACCGATAGAACAGCCGAAGTGAGAGGCAAAGTCACCGATAAAGGCAGTAAGAAGACCAATGCCCAAAATAGAGATTATAAACGTTGGGTAACCCTTGGCGATGTCTGTTGGGTGGGAGTGATTGTGGAGAGAGAAGAGAAAAAAAAGATATTCAGATGCAATTCATGGCGAGGTGAGTCGAGGTCTAGGGTTTACAGCACACAATTTTGACGATTGTTAGACACTGATTGGCTAAGATTCTGATGCTCTGTGCCTCAGAATTGTGTTCCTCTTTTAGCATGATCTGTAAACCTACAGGAATGATTAAGAGCAGAAAGGCCAAATTTGAGAGAAACCATCAAAGGTGAAATTGGAAGGTCTTTGTCCAACTATTTACACGTCAATGATAATTCTGACAAACGGATTAAGAAAAAAAAAATAATAATCAGAAGATCCCTGAATATTATCACCGATCTTTTAATTCTAAGATGAACACGCTTGGAAATAAAGACAAAACTCAAACAGAATAAGAGGTTTCACCAACAGCAGAAAACAAGCATGAGAAGTGAATGGATCTAGAAGCTAAATAGATTGATAAAATTTTTCACATGACCTAAAAGAGGAATGCAGATCATCCAATATGGTTGCTGAGCTTAAAGTTAGAGAATGCTGAAGCTGATTAAAACTACATGAAAAATTGATTTTATCTCAAAAGCTGATTAAAAGATATTACATGCATATTACAATAAAAAAAAAAATCTAATAAAACTGTTCACAGACTGTATGAATATACATACAACAAAATTACAGAAGGTGAAATGTGTAATTATGTAGTCATTCATATTCACCACAATACTTAGGCGTATGTGAACGTGTGTGTATGTATGCATTGTTTGTATCTACGTATATATGTATATGTGTACATGCTATACCCGCATTTTCTGTATCTGACCGTGTCTACAAATACAATATAAATGTACATATTATCACCCTGTTAGATAGCAACATAGATTTTGTAACAAGACACGTCTACAACATTAGAAATAATAGCTATTATGAATACAGATTCTGAACATACTGATCCATGGTAGGATGTAACATACAGGAATTATTAAAAGCAACACTACAGTACGGTACACGATAATGTGTGTACATAAAAAGCTTTCATTCGTACTGTCACTCACTCTCGTGTACATGGCACCAACACCTTGAGAATAAGGAAATACTCTTTCATGTATTATGTACAATATGAAAATAAGGAAAATCTATCTGTAAACTTGTGATCTGTGGAGTAAAGAAAAAAATAAATATCTCTGGTGTGATTAGAATTATAAAAATATCTGTCAAAAAAGAGTTTGTTTCATCGGCAGTGAATCGTGATTTTAAAACAGATTCGGTTAATTTTCTTCATAGTAATTGAGTGAGTGGAGTGGTGAGTGGTGTGTGTGTGTGGTGTGTGTGTGTGTGTGTGTGTGTGTGTTGTGTGTGTGTGTTGTGTGTGTGTGTGTGTTGTGTGTGTGTGGTGTGTGTGTGTGTGTGTGTGTGTGTGTGTGTGGTGTGTGTGTGTCTGTAAATATACATTAAAGTATATAAATATATACGTGTATATATATGAATATATGTATTTTTGTATGTGTGTAGCATATATATACACATCGATTCTAGTGCCTGGAAACTAACTCTGCTTGACTTGATACAAAGACAGAAAAATAAAATACAAAATTACGAGCAACAAGTACAAGAAAAAACATCGAAACCACTCCTTAGAATCTATAATAAACCAGTCAAATAGCAAAATGGAAAGGTGAAATCTAAAAGAAATTTTATTGATATCAAAATTCTTCTAAGCTGTTTCTAGAATGAAAAGTATATAAGCAGAAAAAAAATATGATTCTGGGATATTCAGGAGAAAAAAAAAGTATATATATTAATTTATAAAATTAGTAGTAACCTTTTGTTTTCTATAAAATCATATTGTTGACTGAACCATTTTTTCTAATGGGTTTTTGAGTGTGTGGGTTTCTCAAAATTTGGTTTGATTTAAGTACCTTACGATTTCCTGTTTCTAGGCTTTTGTTTTAATAAAGATTTAATTCCCTAGTTCTGATTATTACAATTTACGACTACCATGAATATTTTCCGAAACCGTATTTTTAAAAATAAATATAAATATACACAAAAACTGGACATCAAATTAATAAATATGTACACCCATAGATGTAGGAAAATACAGTATGATGAAAAAGCCACTTTAATCCTAATTTTGTAAGGTCCAATATTTTTTTTCCAGAGAGCAATATGTTACTTTTATAAAGTCTCAGATAATTTTATTCTTCGGAATATTGATTGGGAAATTTATTTTTATTCTTTCATTTCCTAAATCTCCTTACTTAGTTTTCGGGAAGAAACATTCTCAGGAAATTCATTCTTGACCTTTTTTGCAAGATTAAAGAACTTATATAATATTGAAAAAATTCCAAGGTGGAAGTCATCTAGGAATTGCAAAATCATGAAAAGAGCAGAGCAATATGGAGTTTGAAAATGTATTTTATAAGAATATATCAAAAGCTTAAATACGCAGAACGAAAAAGAGTGTAAAAATACCACAGCAATTTGGATAAATTCAACTTTCAATAAATCATATATTTTTTCATATCTTATCATAAACCTTATTTGGGGCAAATATATTGGAATTTAATTAAATTGTGCATTAAAATATTTGAGAGAAAAAAAAATTCTCTTGATCTTTTATTGAAGTATATTTTATTTATACACCAAACCGACTTGAACGAATATAAAGAAAACGAAGGAGCGAGACTGGGATATATATATATATATATATATATATATATATATAATATATATATATATATATATATATATATATATAAATTATTTCCAATTTGTACATATATGTTTTACGTTAACAGAGCATCATTTGTCACTTATTACTTCTATTTTTCATAAATATATATAATTTTAACTTTAAACATCAGCAATGAACCAAATTTCACGTAATACTTTTTTCTCTAAATAAACCAAACTTTCACGTAATATATATATTCTTATAGCTTATTTTAAAATGACTATTACCTTAAAATGACGCAATTTTCATGTACCATTTTTTTTTATCTGTTTCTTTGTTCTTTTACTTTAACTGATCCTCCAAAATAAACCAAAATTTCACGTACTTAATTGACCATCATAAGAGGAAACCAAAATTTCACGTAGTACTTAATTGACCATCTTAAATTAGGGAACCAAAATTCATGTACTTAATTGACCATCTTAATAGGGAACCAAAATTTCACAGTATACTTAATTGACCATCTTAAAGAGGAAACCAAAATTTCACGTAGTACTTAATTGACCATCATAAAGAGAACCAAAATTTCACGTACTTAATTGACCATCTTAAAGAGGAAACCAAAATTTCACATAGTACTTAATTGACCATCTTAAAGGGAAACCAAAATTTCATGTACTTAATTGACCATCTTAAATAGGGAACCAAAATTTCACGTACTTAATTGACCATCTTAAAAGAGGAAACCAAAATTCACGTAGTACTTAATTGACCATCTTAAGAGGAAACCAAAACTTCACTTTAGTACTTAATTGACCATCTTAAATAGGGAACCAAAATTTCACGTACTTAATTGACCATCTTAAATAGGGAACCAAAACTCCTTTAGTACTAATTGACCATCTTAAGAGGACAAAACCGAGGCGAGTCTTACCCGTGGGAGGAATAAAGGCAAAGAGAATCTTCCAGAAGACGGTGACAAAATGCATGACGTAATCCATACAGCTGGGCAGCTTCTCAGTCTCTTCTTCTTCCTCTCCCTCTTCATCTTCATCGCCTACGAGAACAGGGGAGAATTAATATAAAGAAAGAGAGAGGGAGAGGGAGGGAGGGAGAAGGGACGAGAGAGAAGGAAATGGGAAGAGAGAGAAGAGAGAAAGAAGGTCATGAGAGAGAGAGAGAGAGAGAGAGAGAGAGAGAGAGAGAGAGAGAGAGAGAGAGAGAGAGAGAGAGAGAGAGAGAGAGAGAGAGAGAAGAGAAAGGAGAATATTAAAATTAAAATTAGCGAGACTTGGGACTAGACACTTTCCCGTTCAGATGCGATTTTGTTTTTCTTATGATTATTGTTGGTTAAAATTTAGTATATATTTAGCAACATAGAAATCTGGCTAACATATTAAATAAATAAATTACAGAAATTGCGAAGCTACAGTGAGACAGAGATTACAAAATGGAGACAAGTTAAGAATTATACTACGTTACAAGTTATCATACACCATTGTACTAAGATAAGCTCAATTAATTATTAATATTTTAACTTTCTTGAATGATATATCAAATAACTTTAATACTTAAACTATGAAATTAAAAGTCAGGCATCACACTCAAGTTGCAACATCTAAGCTATATTAAAAGAACAAATTATATAGAAACGTGAAAATGTAGAGAAAAATGATACTCCAAATATAGCAGAATATCATACGAGAAAAAATAAAATAAAATAATATAGCAACTGTGGTCACCACTCTCACTTGTGGTGATTCTAAACCAAAAAGAAAAAGAAAAAAAAAGAGAATAAAGCTGCATTGATATGGTGCAGTTATTTTTTATAAGTTAAATGTGTCTGTTTTGTTATAACAGATAACAAAACTACTTCAAAAAGGAACACATAAGATCTGCAAGGTAAAAAAATAGTCAAAAATCATAAAGATAAATAAAAAAATCTGAGTTAGACAAAGACATAGAGAAAGAAAATAAAAAGGAAAATAGTCATAGAAGTTTGGACTATACTTTGATACACACGAATCATTCTCTAATACACCTCGAGGTGCTTCTCAGGAATACCTACCATAGTTGAATGCAGGAAGGTGGTAGCGTGAAAGGGGGGAGGGGAGAAAATAACTAAAATTTACCACTCTAGTCAGGGCAGACACTATGCAACGACTGTGCAATATATATTTTTTGTTTTGCAAAGCTTATGTACAGAGCATATGCATGATTTTCATGTTTGAAATTTGTATCAGTGAGAATATGACACCATTATTAATTTTGTATAGTCATCAGAGATCATATATGCATACATATATACATTAACAATTATCTAATCCAATTTTTGGCAAGAATCATTTAGTTAAACAAAGTATATATATATATATATATATATATATATATATATATATATATATATATATACTGGATAACGGTAGCTATATATATTACTAATTCTGCCGACAGAAAGCCGAATTAGTTGACCAAATGAATCTCGCCAAAGACTATGATAATGTTAGGCAACTGTGCATATTTTAGTGACTAATTTGACTGTCATATGAGTTATCTTTATAATAATAAAAAAGGAACTCACTAAGGTGAAAAAGTAAACTAACGAACTACTTCTACTTGTAAAATGAAACCTTTTAAAATGGAAATTTCAAAATCTAACAAAATTTTCAATTAAACAATTTATTCGAGAACCCAAAAGTCACGGGAAATATCCTGTGACATGAATTTTTTTGGTCTAATTCACAAAAAAAGGTAGTAGACTAACAAAGACTGATAATATTGGTTTTATAATCACTGTTACCCAATTGCCACCTACCATTTGGAGGCGACACCGAAGCAGGGAAAGGCAAGGGAAGGAATTGCATAGTTAGCATATTTAGGTGGAAATCGTGTCAACGGAACACCTCAGAAATGGCCAGAAAATATGTATACACAGAAGATAAATAAATGAAAACAGATAATCATTCTATTTTTTTTTTAAAGACATCATTTAGAATAATTTTATAAGAGTATGAAATCTGCATACTGATTTTGACAAGAACTTCTCTTAGAGTAAAACTCAACGAGAGAAGCACCCACCTTACTCTAAGGATCAGGCACAAGGTTACAGTAACACATCAGGAAGCCGCAATAGGTAACTGAACAGAACCAACATTGTTAAGGATTCCTGGCCACATTACACTAATATAAGACTATTCTTGGAACTTGGCAACCCACTTCGTTTCGTCACATGAAAGGTCGTGATGCTGTCTGGCTGCGCTCGTCCATTGTGATGAAACCGGGAGGGAATCATTGAATGTGTTGAAGAGATGTTTTTTTATGGCTCGGGTAAAAGTTTTGATTCACGTTGTATAGGCTGCCATTGGCATAGTATGGAATTTCCGTCGATTTATATTGTAAGTTCTTCAAGAAGCATACTAAAAGAGCCATCGATCTGTTACACTTAGAAGTATGACTTCTGTACAATTTTTTTTTTATAAATCTAATAATCTATGCTATGGATGCTGACATATTACAAGAATCCAATTGTTACATAATGCACATAAAGCTAGCATGATCTCAGATAAATGAAATCAAGAACTTTGAGTAGATTCAATTCTTTTATTTTGTTCTACTTAATTTTTTTATTAATTTAATTTAGACAGTTTTAACAATAAAAAAAACGGGTGAAAATGAATGAACGAAGGCGCTAGACCACGAAGACAGCATATTCACGTAAATGAGATGGCAGGGTAGTGATTACTAAAGGAAAATACTCATTATCATTGCATATATTTGCGGCTATGAGGGCCATTCAGTAATCCTTAAGATACAGACAAAATAACAATATTATTAGAGTTGAATACATAAGTTTTATGACTGATCTTATGGACCTAAAATCATTGTTGAATTACTTAAAGAGCAACTCCATTACCATGCATGGATTCTTGAGATCAAAGACGAGAGAAAGACTACTTCCCTATCGCAAATATAAATTCCCTCCACCACAGAATAAAATCCCTCTACGAATAGTAATAATGGTCAAAGGAGATAACTGGAACCTCCAGCACTTACCAGGTTGGACTGTGATGGCTTCACTGAACTGTTCCTTCCAAGAGGAGGTACCAACAAGGAGGGATGCGTTGGCCTTCTTCACCAACTTGTCAACCATGTTCTGTCAAGGGAGGGGGGAAGGTTACTACAGCCTCACCAAACTACCTAATGCACAGCCATCAGATTACCACATGGCCACCAGTAATTCAGATTTACAGATTTGTATGCCGGTACTCTCCAGTCAAGGGTGTTACAGTACCTCTGTTCCTTGGGTCTACGTTTTGGTTGTTTTCGTTGTCTTTCATTCCAATTTCAAAAGCCACTATTAGCATCTCAACTACTGGGTCTTCGATGCCAAGTTATTTCAACAATTTACAGCAATACTCAAGAAAGATTTGGTGAATATTGACGCAAACTGAGACGGTTATAAAAGCAATTTTCTTCGAAGCAGATACCATTAGCCAGACTATTGTGAATCCAGCTAATACACCTCGACTTAGAGCCAAATTTATTAAGAAGCATTTCAGTTACTGGAATAGCATTTTCAGCCCATCGAAGGGATACCCAAAAAATCGCATTACCTAATGCAGCATTTCTTTATTTTTCTTTTACCAATTACCTTCATTGCCTTCCGACAAGCAACAAAAGCGGGTCCAGAGAGCTCATTTGGTTAGTGCAGTGCCACAGATTATCTATGGGTGAAACTATGTCTAGCCAATGCTTTAGGAATTTTGTTTTGGAGTCCTTACAACACGTGACGTGAAACGACCCGATAAATTGATGGTTGGCCACAGATAAAGACTATATTTGACTGTTTCATACATACCTGTATACACAACAAATGGCAATAAAATCTGTAATTTCAACTTCATTTTCACTCGCAAAAGAAACAATTGAGACAACAGGAAAAAATATCCTAAAAAGAACATTCCTTGGAGGTAGTTACTGCCTGGCCCAACATGAGTACCGTATTGAGAATCTAAAAGTGGATGCGCATTTCCCACCAAATGGAAATGTCATTTACATATCACTATAGATCTTCCAGTGAATTATATGTAGACACTGTAGATAATAGGAGTAAAAAATATGATGTAAATCTCTACTATAGAATCACGAAGAGGTCGCAAGGGAGTGATTCCCGAAAACATCGCCTCCAAAGATTAATCATATTTTGATTAAATTTCCCGCTGATCTCTTTTCTCGTGTCTTCTCAGCAAGCCAATTTGATTAACGAAAAACGAAGCTTTTTTCTCTTCTTGCTCACTTTACCGAATGGATAATGTAAACACGGTATTTAACGTAAGTGGAATTTGGAAAGTAAATCTTCAGTGCTGGAATCTTTGAAAAATCTGAACCTAGGTCAAGGAAACCCTATACTATGACCACTCCTCGAGGCTTTTTTTCTCAGCTGTTGCCTTATGCCCCTTGGCAGTGGTCTGAGATTTGCTTAACGAAAGCTGTAATCTGTAACCTAATCTGGTATGAGAGGAACTGAGACCATTGGCGAAATTTAAATTCCTGTGCCATTAACACATCCAGGATTTGGTTTGATATCACGAAGAATTGCCGAAGAAAATTTTTTTTTAGATGAATGATAATCGCACACGTCTATACTTACCATTTTCGTCTTCATCAAGTAATGGATAAACTGATTTTTTTAAAATGATAAAGCGATGACTGCTTAAATCCATCTACATTAATACAGATCAAATCTAAAATCCTGAAGCCCTGAAATTCTGGAATCTTCATCTCCGTCAAAAGACACGTATATTGTGGAACTCACTGAGGCGATTCCCTCCGTGACTCAGTACAAACCACCAAGGAAACGCTTCTCGAAACACGCATCATCCATTTATCATCCACTTAGATAATATACAACGAAATCCAGGTGATAATTCCTCGCACAAAACACCTGCAAACGACGACACTTCTCATTCCCTCCTTTCTCCCTCGATTCCGTGATAATTCCTCGCACCAAACACCCGCAAACGACCACACTTCCCTTCCCTCCTTTCTCCCTCGATTCTCTTCCAAAACCGCTGAACCAAATGAGCTCTCCCGGACAAGCGGATGTGGGCAGTGACCTCGCAGGCAAAACAGAAGCCCTCTACAAAGAGAATTGATCTGGTCATTGGGTTACCGGGAGCTCCGCATCGCACAGAAACTCTCGGAAAATGCTGTCGAGGACGGTCTGGAATGGGGGCAGAGACGGGGCGTGAAAGCCAGGGAACCGCTAGAGGGCCAACAGCATGGGTACTTTGTGGACTTGCTACGTGTAGGGTGTGTCATGGATATTATCTAGTTTTTTTTTTTTTTATATATTTATGAACCGTATCCATGTTGACAAATGTAGAAAAAGGTATGAATGAGACTGGATATCTTCACAATACAAGAGATATATTTATACTAATAATTATAATAAAAAGATTGATGATATTAATGATGGCATGCTAATAATAATTGATAATTATATTAATAATGATTGATGATAATAAAATGATTGATGATAATGATGCTTATGCTAATAATAATGATTGATGATGATAATAATGATGATTATGCTAAGAATAATGATTGATGATGGAAATTATAATGATTATGATAATAATGGTTGTGAGGATTATGTGATAACTATATTGATTATGATGATATGAAAATCACTTAAATAATTAATAGTATTGATGGAGATAATAATAATAGCAATGTGCATAATGATAATGGTGATGATAGACAAATAATAATGAAATCACTAAACAGCAACGCTAACAATATGACTAAATATAATCCCAGTGACGGTAAGAATGAGGATAATAAAATCTTTATAGTATGTGCAGATATGATCATGAATACCTTTCACAAAGATATTTTTCCACCACTAATTTTCAGTGCACGGAACTGTAGTGCTACTGTTACTATTATGCTGGTTGATAAAAAAAAAAAAGTATATATATATATATATATATATATATATATATATATATATATATACATATATATATATATATATATATATATATTATATATATATATATATATATATATATATATATATATATTATAATTCAACTGTAATTCTGACTTGGGGGGAAATATACCGGCACAGAAATGCATTTTTCCAAATACTGAATATATCTTATTATGCTATTTTCTTAAGAGAACTTTGATTAATTAAATAAATAATTACTGATTTTCTATGATTTCTCGTAGTACACTTGAAATATCTGATAAAAAAATCTCCAAAAAGACATTTTCCTTATAGTTTCGTTGAATAACATTTTTGAAACATATTTTAAACCACAGAGTACTGAATTCTCGTTGAAATTCTTATTTACCATTGAAATTACAAATGAAATGCAGTTCTCTTTCAGAAAATATGTCTATATTATTTTTTTACTTTTTGTATTCACAAAAATGAGAATTTATCTAAAGCAGAAAATACTAAATAGGAGAATACACATATTTTTAAATAACAACCAATAAATAAGATACAGTAGGGAAAAACGTAGTATAGACAGTAAATAAACGTGAAAACAAGAAAAATAGTAATAAATGAAAAAAAAAGCAAAAGAGCCAATGACTAGACAGGAACAAGCAATCTCCTTCAGCAAAATATACAAGAAAAAGTCGCTTCTCGTTTTTTTACGGAATTTGTGTGATATAAACGCAAGCGCTAAGACGAGGTAAAAACGCGTCTTAGACCAAAGGGAAGGAACGAAGTGAAGGAAGCAAGGCAGCTCGTTCAACAAAGTTTTTTTTTTACGTGGACAATAATAAAGTGTGTGTTTATATAAAAAAAGAGTTATGTTCTCGTCATCGGGAGAATATTATTTTTTGAAATACATGAAGTCATTTTAGATACTTCATAGTCATTCTACAAGAAACGGATTTACAACGCATACAAGCGCACGCACGCACACACACACACACGCACGCGCGCGCGCACACACACACACACACACACACGCGCACACACACACACACACACACACACACACACACACAACACCACACACGCGCGCGCACACGTACACGCACACACACACGCACACTCACTACACACACGCACACACACACACGCACACACTTACCAACGCCTCCAACTTTCAAACCCCTCACTTAAACAACTCAAACTACCCTACTCACCGACACCCACACACACCCACACGCACGTAAACAAACCCACGTGTCCCACCCAACCACCCCTCCCAACCCCACCCGCCCTCCCCTCCTCCGAAACAAGTCCGAGACACGTTCGCTTACCTTGTATTCCTTGTTCTCCTTGACCCTGATCTGAGTGCGGGTCGAGTTGCCGAGCTTCGGTTTGCCGAGGAGGGCGATTTTCTCCTCTTCGGTCAGGTCGCTCTCCTTGTTAGCGAATTCGAAACCTATGTCGAATTCGATGTCTGCAAAGGGCGGGCGCCGGGATTAGCGAGAAGAAATCTCTGACGTGTTTTGTGATTTTTTTGTTTTGCTTTCTCTCTTTGGCTTAAGGGAGCTCACACGTTATATGGCCGTGATGTGCGGTGTAGAGATATAATTATATTTGTGCGCATAGAGGTGTGCCTGTCTGCATGCATATACGTGTGTATGATACGTTCGAACGTGCATTTATATATATATATATATATTTATATATATATATAATATATTACATATATATATATAAATATATAATATATATATAATTAATATATATATATATATATATATATATATATATATGTATGTACATTTGTACGTATATATCATATATATAATATATATATATATATATATATATTATATATATATATATATATATAATATATATATATATATATATATATATATATATATATATATATAATATACATACACACATGTCCACACGTTAACACACACGCTCGCCTCAGTATGGAAAGTGCATGTACACAAGGTGTCTCACGAAGCCTTATAACATGTGAGCTTATATTCATCTAGAAGATCATATCCCACAGTATAGCATCCAAGTATGATACAAGTTTCTACTACAATAAATCTCAACAAGACACAAAACACATTTAAACTACAACCTAAGATAAAATACCATCTGACTCGACTCTACCATGCAGAGATATTATAATACTTCTACTGTACATACTAAAGATTCTGTAACTAGAAGTTCGTTTATTTAGCAACTTTAAAGACTATAGTAACATGAAAAAAACAGTTAAACACAAAAGTAAATATCTGAATATCAAAATAATATTTTACGATATCTATAATTTACAAACAACAACTATTGTTAACCCAAATAAATAAAATACCGAATTTGATTTACTCTAAAACCTTACCATATATTTACATCCTATTCTGCCATTTTTTTAAAACTACAAAATACACACAAAAACAGAACCAAACGTGGTGTTAGAAAAATGAAACCAAAAGGGGGGTACAAACACCACACAAAGGACAACGAAATAAATAATGTGATAAGGGACACTACCAATAATAATGCAGATGTGTGGATGTGGGTTCCTTATGCTCTCAAGAAAAGGATATTACTGGAATTCTGGCTACGAATAAGATTTTTAAAATACATCTTAGTAATATAATATAGGAAAAATATACCTTCTTTCACTTTTTTCTTTTTAATTTCCGGAGTATCTGCATGGAATTACAAAAGTTATTTTTTTACTTGAAAAAGGCACCAGAGTTATGAGGAAAAAAGATGGAAAAAAATATTGAAATGAGTGGAATGATAAATGGTTTTATACAAAAAAAGAAAGAAAAAAAGGTGCTTGCTAAAGTCACTTGAATATTCAGGAAGCAGTGGGACTTGGGACATGCATATCCTAGACTCTACATTGGAAGGGGTCAACAGGGGTGACTAAAATATTCCCCTGAAACCCCCTTTCGTGTTTTCTTTATTTTTACGGGGTTTGCTTGAGAGTCACATTCATTTTGACACTCTGCTGTTTCTACGTGCCTAGAATGCAAGGAAACAACAATAAAAAGTCGGGTGTTTTAAATGCCTTGAGAGAAAATGGAGAAATTGAAACGAAAACTAGCTCTGAAATAATGCAAGTGAAGTACATTTGATTTGTGGTGATTTGAAATGGCGTGAGCAAAGGATTTTTCTTCCGTGAAATAGTTAATTAGGAACAGGTAGCTCACGGGTGCTCAGGTGGGAAGCATAACCATATATGATTATAATCTTGAAGAGAAGGTAGACACACTGTACAACAACCTCTTTCAGTGAAGTGTTTCTGAACATGTAGATTGATGATAGATAAACATAAACTTTTATTTTACCAAGAACCATAAGAAAGAAAAATAAAGCATGACAGTAAATTGGTTTCATAAACACTTCACGAAAACCTCCCCTCTGCAAAGATGACAAATACTCTCACCTGTTGTGCATTATCACGACCGTCATTATGTCTTTATCTTTTGTTTTCTATTTATTTATGTCTTACTTTTCTTCCCTGAATACACTTTGGTCTTTTACAGAGGAGAGGTGCTTTAATCTACCAGCGCCATGCGGGTCGACACTCTTCACCCAACGGTGTTATCCGCTAGTTTGGGTCAGCTGTCCGTGTTTATTGCCAGGGGACATCCCCGTATCTACAACACGTCTTAGGAGAAGGCAAATTAAACATGGGCAATAGGGTGTACTTCCATGTGGAGAGATATGCAACAAGGGGCAATAATAGAGGGTTGCAGAGCAGGTATTACCACTACCAAAACTACCAAAGAGGGAAACAAGGGTGAACATTCTACCGGCAAGCGATCATTCCTTCATTCATTGTTCAACAAAGACTATGAACCACTTACATCAATGGAAAACAGGCGATACCAATTGGATTTATTTATACACAGGGCGATGAAGAGAAGATAGTGAGAGAGAGGGGGAAAAATAATCATTAGATTATATAGAAACGGAAACCAGAGAGGTATTGCATCAGCGGATTCACTAAAAGGGTCGATTTTGAGCACTCGATACGCCAGGAAATTTAATGGTGTTGGTCAATCTAGAGAGACAGATTTCTAAATCGTCGGGAAGTGAACAAACTCCATTCTAAGTGACCCACTAGACTTATAAGTGTGCTTTACTTTGGTGATGCAATTGGGATAACTAAAAGCAGGAAAACCATAGTGAAATAGATTGGAGGGAGTGAAGAGAAAAAAGATCTTTTGTTTAATAATATTCTAGTGAGAGTAGGGGTATAAACACCTACATACTGATTACAACAACCGATGCAAGGGAGGTAGGTAATAGCATGACATAGTCTCTGAAGCAATATATATATATATAATTTTTCTCTTAAAACTACAAAGGGGTAAATCTCATGAATAAAGGAGAATGCATTATGCTCAAAGATAAGAGAAATATTAAGCACATAAATACACCTTCAAACATATTGTGCAATGCAGACTGAAATGAATCTTCTTCAAAGGGTTATTCCTTTAATTTTTAAGTGACAGTAAATAATAAATTACAAAAATATATATTTTCCAAAAGAAGAAGAAGAAAAAAATATAATAAAGAGTAGGATAAATTCAATAATTAGTATAATCTAAATTTCAGCAACAAAAAAGTCATGATAATCTAATATATATCTAAGATAATATACTTATACGCTCTTTATTTCTAGCACAGATTATATTATAAAATAGTCAGTAATGCAAGTTAGCAGCTTCCTCTTAAACAGTAGCTCTTCCTGATATAGATTTAATATATCAGAAGAAAATGAATTACGCTTTGTTAATAATTGTTTTAAAATGTGCAACATTACTAAGCGATTTGTTATTCATCTGATTAATGAGTGACACCTGAAAAATAAGAAGGAATTAAGTGAGATAATTATCTTATATATTTAGCTAATCTAATCACCTAGAATATGCAAACACTCACCCATCTCTGTCTATCTGACTCTCTCTCTATCTATCTATCTCTATCTCTCTCTCTCTCTCTCTCTCTTTCTCTTTCTCTTTCTCTTTCTCTTTTCTCTCTCTTCTCTCTCTCTCTCTCTCTCTCTCTCTCTCTCCGTCTCTCCTCTCTCTCTCTCTCTCTCTCTCTTTCAATACATACCGATACATAACAAAATATGTATATGAATATGTATGCGTACATGTAATACTTAGTATGTGGATGCACACATACTATGTATATATGGCTACATGTATGCCTAAATATTATATAATCCACACACAACAACACACACAACACACACACACACACACACACACACACAAATCTATTCATCCCACACTTAACTAATCTAACCCTAACCCCACCTTACTCCCTATCTAAACTATCCTGAGGACATCCTATCTAAGATCCTAAAAAGAAGAAAAAAGAATCCTACCCCAACTTTCTCCTCTCCTTCATTTTCCCTTAGCCCATTAAACCCGCCCCTTTTTTGCTCCACCCCTCTATCCCATCTCCCCCCTTCTATTCTCTTCTATCCCCTCTCCCTGCCCCTTCTATTCCCCTCTCCCTTCTATTCCCTCTCCCCTCTATCCCGCCCTTCTATCCCTCTCCCCACTCTTCTATTCCTCTCTACTTCCCTCTTCCCAGCCCTTCTATTTCCTCTCCTCTCTATCCTCCTCTCCCCCGCCCTTCTATTCCTCTCTATTTCCCTCTCCCCGCCCTTCTATTCCCTCTCCTCTCTACCCCCCCTCCCTCCCTTTATTCTCCTCTTATCCCCTCTCCCCGCCCCTCTCTCCTCTCCCCTCTATCCCTCCACCCCTCTCCCTCCACCCCTCCCCTCCCGCCCTTCGCCTCGCAGCCGGACAGGCCGTCCGCGGAGCCGTCGGGGACAAAGAGAAGCCCTTCGTACTCCAATGGCTGAGCTCGCCGATGTCCACGTAGAATAGGACGTCCTTCTCGTAACTGTCCTCCTCGATGATGTTGATGGACACGGTCTTCCTGCGGGCAGAAGGCGGGGGTCAGTGGGACTTCGAGGACGTCGGCTTTGGACTTTGGGATATATGTTTTTTTTTCTTTGAAAGACTTTTTTTTTTTCTTAAAGACTTTTTTTTCTTAAAGACTCTTTTTCTTTTCTTAAAGACTTTTTTTCTTGTTGGTCTCATTCTTTTTTCATTCTCTCTCTCTCGTTATAAATACTATTGTTATTATCATTATCATTGTTATTATTAATATTATCATTATCATTATTGTTATTGTTATCATTATCATTACTATAATTGCTCTTATTATAATTATCAATAATAATCATGATACTACCAATCATTATTATTATTATCACTATCCTTTCCTTATAATTCTGTTTATTCGCATGTATCCATTTGAAACCCACGACTTACAGAGCCAGCACGATTCGCTCAAACCTTCACAATCAAATAATATTTTGCGTTAATTACTGCCTCGGTAATAACTGTTGGCCGCTCCATGAACCGGAAAGAGCCATCAATCTTT